ATCCATCGTCTTCTACCTCGAGCCAACTTGCGGAAATGTCACTTTTACTCACCAAACTTCAATTAAAGTATATAAAAATGTTCTCCAAGGTTCATGGATCATTTTAGCATCATTAATTCATAATTTTAACATCAATTTCATGGTTTATGATTCTTAGTTCTTCAAGTATGTCAAACACAAAACTCAACCAAATGACCATTTATGAACGTAGAAACGACCTATATGAACATTCTAGTCATTAGATATATCTAGGGGCTTACCTCGAAGCTTAAGGAAGGTTTTGGATATTTTCCGGCGAAACTTCCGGCGATGATTACTCTCAACTCCGGCGACCTCACACCAAATTGGCAGCACCACAATATTCCTTACACTCTCAAGAACACAATGGAAGAAGAAGTAGAGAGAATGGTGTAGAAATGAGAAGGGTTGGGTTCTCTTATATAATGAGAAGGAGAGAAGAAGAAAACAACTATGGTGACTCTGCGATCGGCGTAGTGGGGAAGGAGGCGCCGTTCGCACAGTGTCCCTGATTGGGACCAATTTTGGTTCTAGTCGGGGTACACTTTTTGGTCCAACTTTCTCCGAATTGAATTCCGTTTGCACCGTTGCGATCGGGCAGTTAAACTCTATCTAACGATATAATTTTTATATTTATTTGTAATACTTTTTCCGACATCATATTTTTGGGTGGTTGACTTTGACAGAGTCAAAATTGGTTTAATTGACCTTTCTCATAAAAGGTTCTCTCATTTAATTCATATCAATTATTCTCATGATTTATTTCAATAAATCATTACAAAGTTCACATCATAATTAATTTATTTATTTATTCTTGATTTGGGTCTGTACTCAGGTTCCCAATCAAGACCACACAAATAGTCCACATATTGGATTTATCTCAATTAGACTTATCCAGATTTTGATATTGGATATGAAAAAAATATTTCATATCAGCCCAAAGCCCAATAATAATCAAAACAAATTTGTTTAATCGAATTATTATTTAATAATAATTCTAGGGTATGTTTCGGGGCGTTACAATTACAATGAAACATTCATGACACATATTATTGTGAAATATAATACCTGCTCTTACTTTACCGAAAATTCCTTTTTTGCACAAATCTATAATCAGCATATCCAACTTCATCTTAAAAACACGACACAAAACATCAGGACGGTCTTCCGGGTTAAGTCCTTTGCTCTGTACATGTCTTGTTATTTCAGGCCATTTTGGATTACACGTAAATGTGATGAATAAATTTGGATACCCCGCCCACTTGCAAATTGCCATAGCATCTGGATAATTTTGAACCATGTATCTAGCACCTCCAGTGAATGAAGAAGGCAATATGACATGTTGTCCTTGCAATGCCGCATTCCTCTCTCCTCGTAACAGAGCATCAGTGAGACCACAATATAGTTCACAGCGCAGTTCTTTTTTATGAGTGCGGATGTATATTAATCTTGAATACTCAACCATGGTATATGCATCAACCACAAATTGTTGGAAGAGACGTTTTGAATGAAGGATGAGAGAAACCTTTGTAGCCCTGTCTTGTAAACGATAGGCAAAATACTCCCTCATACTTACATATTTCCTTCCTTCATCCTCGTCTTCATCTTCTTCTACATTAACGCAAGCCAATAAGATGTCATGTCGATATCCATCTTCCCCAAAAGGGAACAACAAAGGATATTGCAGAGGGAGATATGAAGGATGCAATTCACTAATACGCTGTGGTTTCATATCTCTAGTTTGAACAATGATATCACGACTACCCATTGTTTCGTCGAAGTCACCTACGAGTAATGCTGCAACCTCATCAACCGACGGTAGGTTATATGTTCTTCCATCGCCACCCCTTTTTTCAATCAACCTTAATTTGACATTCGAGCTTACACCTTGTGAAAGTTTTTCGCGTGCCATACGGAAGGATATGACCAGAATATTAAATTCATCTAATATTGCCTGAAGTTCCTTAACAATGATATCATGAAAATTTCTTTTATCATCGATCTTGATTCTGCATTTAGAAAACAACAATGTCAATAAATTGTTTAAAAATGCAATACAAATATAATAATTCATACATATACCTGTTAGATCGTATCCTATTGTTGATCTCGTTTGATGTATCATAAATGTACAATTGCGCAAACCTAGGATTTTGATCTTCTGGTGGAAGTAATGTTCCAATTTTATGATAGTTTTGCCCATTCAGGCTGTAAGTAGGTGGTCCTCCTCCATTATTCATGGCATGATCAATTTTTCCACCCATGGAAGTGAAACAAAACATATTATTATAGGCACGAATGTTTTTCTTGAAATGATGACTCTTTGTAGTGGCTCCCAAGAATAAATCTTGCAAGTGTTGAGGAGGCGGCAACAAAGATGGTAATGCAACTTTACCACTTCTACAACACAAAGGATACTTCGGTTGTATATTTTTGCCATAACCCCTAAGTCTCTCTTTGTACCAAAACTGAGCTCCACAATGTTCGCATTGATACGATGAATTATCATTATCAAAATATTCTGAAAATTTAGATGAAGTATTAGTAATATATGGCATACATTAAGATAATAGAATAAATAATGATTTAAAATAAATATCTAAGGTAGATCAGTACCATCTGACATGCTAAACGTTATTGCTACGTCGTTCAGAGTGTCTTTAAATGTTGTTCTTGTTTCAATATGGCCTTGATCATCAACTTCATTGAATAGTGATTGTCCAACAAAGTAAAATCACACAACGTTAAATTAGGACTATAAGATGAAATAATCTATTTATGAATAGATTATTATGTTTTAATTGAGTATATATTAAACAAAATAATTATGAACCTTCGAAGTTTGTATTTGCAACATGGGGGCGTTCAGGATTTCTAGACGTCGAAGGTTCTGAACACTCAGCAAAGGAATTATTAAGGTTCCTCACTACACGATATCTCCCCAATAACTTATCTATTTAGGAAAAACTCAGAATGTAAATATTACTCAAATTACAAAAGCTGTTTTTAAAATGAATAAGTTTGTTATGTAACGACATACATGGTGAGAATTACATCAAGTTAAGCAACAATCAAGTGTAGTCTAAACAATGTGCATAATGTAATAACAAACCTTTAAACTTTTCAGAACTGTATAACACGGGCACTTCTAGTAAATTATTCATGGATGTCTGATGACAGTCGTTTTTAGACTGTTTCGAGTTCTTCTGTGGCGTAAGTTGCCTCGTACAATCAACTAAATCAAAACGACAAATAAGAAATTATATTTTCATTGAGTTTAACACAACATATTTTAAATAAATAGATGTATGAGCTTCAATATCTTAAATTCTACATATATTTTATCAAAATAATATATTTCCATAATATACGGTCAAAGTTTAAAAAGTTTAACTACAAACGTCAAACATAGAAATCAATTTTAAGACGGAGGGAGCATTATTCATACTTATAAAAGATACTCCATAAGTCCCCGAGTATTTCCCATATTTGTTTTTTCTACTAATAACGGCAAACTTTACCTCCCCCAATATTGAAAATAATTAGAAATTGAAACAATTTTTTTTGTATTAGATTTATTATAGTAGATTATTATTAAAATATTATATCAATTTCTATACACACATATATATACCCCCTCCGTCCTGAAACTAATTTTCCATTTTGACTTTTGAACTCAAAGTTTATAAACTTTGACTGCATACTACCGAAAAAAATATTGAATTTCCATATAAATTTAGTATGAATAGATTTATTGTAAAAGATAGTTTTGAAATATATTATTTTGATAATATATAATGAAATAAAATAGAGATATTAAAGGGCCAAGGTGCCGCATTGTAGACCATGAAAAGTCAAATGAGAATTTAGTTTTAGGACGAGGGAGTACAAAATTTTAAATTAAGTTGCGCCAGAGGTAAAAAAAATGACAAAAATTATTTAATTTTGACAAATAATTAGGGACGAAGGTAGAAGTACGTAAAGAACTAACCGTTTGTAATGTCATTAAGGCAATTCATTTGAACATGAGATAAACTTAAGGGGCTTTGAATTCGAGAAGAACACAAGTGCATCGTACTTTGTACATTTGTACCTGTAATAATATTATTATTTTGAAAAAAAACAATTCATAAAAAAAATAATGATTAGCATTTAAAGTTTTTACTTTTTTTAAAACCTTTGAAATTTGTAAAATTCACAAGTATTCTGGTCCAATAAAAGCAATTCCCCCAATGCCCATGTCTCATTTTAACCTGGGCCAGCCCAAAACCTTTCCTACTAACCTAATTGCCTTACTAAATACTCCGTACTTTCTCACGTTTCTCACTTTCTCCCACTCTCATCTGCCGCTGTGTTCCGCTACCTTATCTTCCTCTCTCATTTCTTTATATTATTTAACCGGATTTTAATCCTCTTTCTGCCTAAGAAATCGAAGGATCAAGTCCTCATGTCCTACTTTTGGATTGTTCTTCTTTGTATGTATTTCTTCCTTGTTCTGTATTGATTTTTTTTGTTTTTTCTGCAATTTGTTTTCGTTTTTCTCACGCAAATTTGATATACTATCTCATGTTTTTTATTTTTCGGAAACATGTACTGGAATTGATTATACATACATATTTTAAAATCTTCAATTTTTCTTTAAGATTTTCGATGACTTTGAAGTTCATATATTTTTTCTACGATTTTGCGTAGATCTATATGAAATGATGTTATTTTGTTTACTTTGAATCATGATTCATTAGTTTACAGATCCATGCACCGAAATATTATTTCGTATTTTTTTTTGTTTTTCTTACGCAGATTTGAAATCCTATCTCATATCTTTTTTCGAAACATATAATGGAATTGATATGTCATACATACTTAAAAATCTTCAATTTTTCATGAAGATTTTCGATGACTTTGAATTTCATACATTTCTTCTACGATTTTGCGTAGATCTGTATGAGATGAAGTTATTTCCTACACTTTTGAATCATGATTCATTAGTTTACAGATCCATGCACCATAATTTTTTTCGTTGAAATACGAATACATGAAAAATATTTTAACTTTTAATTTAAAACTAATACTGATCCTTGATATTTTAATTTTAATAATTTTTCCTTGTAAAAGGAATACAGATCTCTCATATTTTAAATTTTATATACTCTCCCACATTAAAATTGCATTCATAGTCCCTACTTCTATATCTGAATAACATTATTCAGGAAACTAAAACTGCTTCATGTGATCTGATTTTTCAAATATTATCATTTCATTAAATTTTTTACGGCTACAGAACCTACATTTATACTTGAAACCCAGTATGTTATATGATTTTTGTTGTTCTTTGTAACTCATATTTTTTAATCTGAATTGTTCACATTGTGACAATCTACCCAAGAATAATACTTTTATTTTTTTTACAGGGGCATTTTTACTGAAATAACGTAAAGTAAAAATGTAAGTAATTTCATATGAGCTGCATATAATCCGTATTTTTTTAAATATAATCTGTTAGATAAAAATTACTGAATACATAAACCTCTAAATGCTTTTACTTTTTATTTCAGGTTTGATCCTTTTTAAAGTACTCCTCGTGATGAACTACTTGGTTTGGACTGGCTCTTTGGAGATAGCATGTACTGGAATTCTTGATGTGGGGATAACTCTCTTTTGTCCAGAACTGATTGTATGTCTTTATAGATAGAGATCTCATTAGATGATGCCACGTGTAGCAAACTATTCTCATCCATTGGATGCATAATTATGGCGGGAAAATCAGGAATGAAAATGGCAAAAATTTCTCATGGGCTTTTATATATATAGTAGATATATATGAACCCACAACTTTATATTTTGAACAAATCTCTAATCTCTCAAAAGCCAATGCGAAAGATCGTATGATTATTTCCTATCAGTGCCAAATTACTATATATATATATATGCACAAAAATATGTTTGACTACTTGCATTGAGAGTAGACTTGATCAAAGTGCGGGCTAGGCCAGGTTTCGGGCTGGGCCGAGACACAAATTTTCTAGGCCCGTGCCCGGCCCAGCCCGTATAACGGGTCTAACAATTGAATCCCGAGCCCGGCCCGCATGGATACCCGTAGGCTTCGGGCTAGCCCGACTCGCCTGGCAAAAACTTCTAAATAATTTAAAAATAATTTTTTTTATAAAAAGTAACAAGTTAATATATTAGATATTTGATATAAAAACAATTATGAGTAAATGAAAGAAAAATTAATTTATAAATGTGTTTTGTTTGATATTGCTACAATTGAATGTATGGAGTATGAAATATTGTTTATTGGAATAGCATAATCAATGTGTGATACGATGCAAACAATACGGAGTAGTTTGGTAAGTGAAACTGTCGACTTATTCGAATAACTCAAGAACTATTCGAATAGTTTGGATCAATCGCGTGGCTTGAAAAAACCAGTTCCTATTCGAATAAATAACCATTTATTCGAATAAATCAGGGTGAAAAGCCAGGACTTATTCGAATAAGTGGTGATTTATTCGAATAAATCAGGTTGATTTCAGCAACAGGAAAGATCACGACTTATTCGAATAAACTAAAGATTATTCGAATAGAAAGGCAACTTCCCCACACAAAGGCTGATCTAAAATGAGTTTTAAAGGTAGGATGATAAGGGAATGAACCTTAGAGATGCCATACTCTTTAACACATAATCTAAGACCTAAAACACTACCCAACTAAGGAAACAACCTCTTCGGTCTCGTTCCTTCCACCGATGCTCAAGTCCCTTCTTCACGGACGGATATGAACTTGTTGTAGCTTTGATTCTTAGCCTTGATGCACAAAATGATGATGAT